CTGTACGGTGTTTGCTTCCCAAACAGTGTTTGTTTTGATCTTAGCAACTGAGTACTTTATGTGAATTTGGAAATTTCTATTCTCCCCAGTTTTTTTAGGTGAAGCACTGAAGCACCAAATGAAGGCTTGGGTGCTGTGATACTAAGCGTGCCCTTGTCTGGCCATGCAATTCTTACAAGGACTAGAGAGCACGGGATGAAACCCTAGCTAAAGACACTTCACAGGGGACACCCAGCCAGGAGGAAACACTGAAGAGATGGTTTCTGGAGTCCTGTTGCTTTCCAGACTTTGGTGCCTATCTGCAGCCTTTAGCTGAGTGCTGATGGGACACAGGGATTCACGGCCTGAAATTCTCAGCAGGATAATAAAATAGAAACTACAAAATATGCTGAGTTAGGTAGCAGGCTGGTGATGTGAGTAAGTACAAAAGGGAAAAATGGCATTTGCCAAAATGATTCTTTTTCAACCGCCCTACATATAGTTTAAATACTGGTAGTAAAAACAATGTGGTGAAGATCGACCAGACAAGCGATAGCCCATACCAAGACTTGGACTGTTACTGCTGGTGGTGTGAAATGCTAGCCATGGCTTGCTTCTCTTAAGTCACTGACAGTTTTTCATTGTCTCTGTGGGAAATATTAAAAGAATAAAACCTAGCAGAAAACCATCATTATCTGCTTTCATTCAGCACAACCTAAAAGTAATCACTTGGTTTGTTCCACCTGTGTGTATCTGCACTGAACTGTATTTCCTTCTGTTGTGATTAGATCCTGCTGACTTTGTCAGGACTCTGAAATCTGAAAAAGTGCCTTTCTGGCCTCTCGTTGCTTACTGGTGCTGAACCAGTTATGTCAAGGCGGCAGAGGAATGAAATCTGATAGGAATGTTAACACTGGTGAGAATGGCAGTGGGTGGACCTTCAAGAAAAACACTCAAACCACAGCTTACCTCCTTGGCAAACCAAACGATTTGCCAGTGTCACCCCTGCAATGGCTAAATGACGAGAGTGAAAGTTTATGGAGACAGGAATGGTTTTCCTGCAGTAATTATACAAACCTTCTCAACAGTGTTACACTCCACAAAGTCACAATTGATAAATAAGAAGCCACACCTATTCATTTCTTAAAATCATCTATTATACTTTTTAGCTGTAGATCCACTTTGCTGAGAGCTGTTGCATATTTATAGCACTAACTTCTCACTATACAAATGGTATTAATTGGATTTTTTCATGAGTGTGCTTCAGGGGCTAGGTCACTGCTTTGAGAAGCAGGGGCCTGGGTTTAGTGACAGGCAATGTCGTGGTGGGACAACAGTCTGAGCGACTGTGAGGTCCCAAAATGCTACCAATAGTGGGTGCTGCATTTATGCCTAACCTGCACAGTGTAGCAGGGATGGAGAAGGTAAAGGAAGGCTGCTTTCCCCCTCCACTGCCCCCCTCCAGGAGCACTCATTTCTCACAAGGTGGGAACAACTGCAGGGAGAAGCAGCACGGGGGTAAAAGGCCTGAGCCCTGTGAAGAGGGAAAAGACGAGGCGTTGTCGTGAACAGCTTGCACTGCAGCCCCGACCCTGCGGGATGCCCCCAGCACAGACCCTGCCCTCCGCAGTGCCATCAGCTGAGGAACAGCATTGGGAAGATCACAGGAACCCATGCTCTGTCCACAGATCCCCACTCCCATGTCCCAGGATTTACCAGTAGTGTGATAAATCAGAGATCCAAATAATTGCTACTAGTGCCTGAATTAACTGGGCTACAAGTATGAGAAATGCTAAAAAGTCCTTTACGTGCAATCTCCTGGTGTAAAGAGAGCATCTGATAGGAACATGCCTCTGCTCTCAGGTTTTGGTCTGGTAGGAGTTGCTTTCTCTAACAAAGCAAATATTTGGTGACAGAACTAGATGTAGAAAGTGCTACATAGCAGGAAGGTGTGACGTATTCGTAACGATATGAAATACTACTCAAAATTCAATGTTTTTCACATTCCATTGCGAGCTTAAACATTGGACTCCTGTCACAGAAATTTCTGCTGCAGTAGACACGATTTGTAGCATAAATGGGCTTGCTTTCAATAGAAAATGGGACAGTTTTCAAAGGAAAAAAGGCCAATTTGTGAGTAAAAATGGGCCTCTTTCTGAGCAAAGAGGCTTATAAACATGAAATGATAAATGGCTTTGCAAGTTTTCCATACAATAATAACAACTTCCTAATCAAAATAATGAAAAAAGATGAATCTGAGGGAGGGGAGAGAAGCTCCATTCGGGTCTTAAGACATTGAAAACATTTTAGAACATAAATATATGAAGACTGTAAATTTTGTTCCACTCTGTAATCTGACATTGTGTTGGAGACATGTCAATAATATTTCTTTGCATATATTTATATAATGTTATAAATCAAAAACCTGTTCTGGGTTTGCTAGCTTCTGAGATGTATTTCATGCAATAATGTTGTAAGACTTAAGGAAATACATTTCTTAGGATCCCCTAAGTGGCAGTGGCATCTGATTTTCTAGTAGTCCATATGTTTTTAGAACTAAATATACCTTCTGGATTGACTCACTGATTTTACGTGCAAATATATTGCTTCATAATAGCTGATATGATGAACAACTGATACGGTTGCTTCCTCTCATGGCCTAAAAATGCTTCAGGATATAAGTACTAAGGAATTGGGATGTCCTTCTTACACATGTTCCAAGAAAGGTGTTGCGATGTACCCAGGAAAATGCATGATGCATTATTTAGTGAATGCTTTCAAATCACTTAGCTACGGAGAAGATTGTGTGGCCCGAGAGGTTGCTTTGCTAAGCTAGAGATGAGAAATAAGTTTTTTAAAATTTTAAATGACAAGATAGTGGCTGGAGGTGAATGGACTAGGACCAGCCCTGTGGAGAAGGACTTGGGGCTTTTGGTGGATGAAAAAGCAGACATGACCTGGCAATGTGCACTTGCAGCCCAGAAAGCCAACCGTGTCCTGGGCTTCTTCAAAAGTGGCATGACCAGCAGGATGAGGGAGGGGATTCCGCCTCTCTACTCCGCTCTCATGAGACCCCACCTGGAGTACTGCATCCAGCTCTGGGGTCCCCAGTAGAAGAAAGACATTGAGCTGTTGGAGCGAGTCCAGAGTAGGCCATGAAGATGGTCAGAGGGCTGGAGCACCTCTGCGATGAAGACAGGCTGAGAGAGTTGGGGTGGTTCAGCCTGGAGAAGAGAGGGCTTCAGGGAGACCCTATTGCACCCTTTCAACACTTAAAGGGGGCTTATAAGAGAGATGGGGACAGAGTTTTTAATAGGGCCTGTAGTGATAGGACAAAGGGGTAGTGGTTTTGAACTAAAAGAGAGTAGATCCAGACTAGATAGAAGGAAGAAACTTTATGATGAAGGTGTTCCTGTGAACAGGTTGCCCATAGAGGTGGTAGATGCCCCACCCCTTGAAACATTCAAGGGCAGGTTGGACGGGGCTCTGAGCAACCTGGTCTAGTTGAAAAAGTCCCTGGTCATTGCAGGAGGTTTGGACTAGGTGACCTTTAAAGGTCCCTGCCAACCCAAATTATTCTGTGATTCTATGTTCTCTGCTATGGGATAAGCCCTACTTCAGCTTCCTTGATTTTGCTTTATAAGGCAGCGTATGGGTGGTAGACAGGGATCACTGGGTTACTATACGGAGTTTCATACCAGTTGTCTCCCTGCATGTTAATTCTCTGGAAAAGTGTTAGATGAAGGACATAGGATGAGTGATGTCAAATATATGTAGCCTTGGTTCTTGTAAACACAGTTGGCTGATAGAGCTAGTCTGAGGTTAAAAAAGCCCTCTAGCAGTGGTGCCCTAGACACCTTTTCAGGCATCATTATGTCACTTTGCCCCTAAGATCCAGACTTAGTTTTCAAAGAAGGTTTGAAAAAAACATTCCTGAGCACATATGATATTCTTACCATATAGTTTTAAAGGTGACTGCAGCACTTTCCCATCTGTGCCCTCCATTGATGATGCAGCACATACGGTCTTTGGGCAGATGGTTCCATATGAGGCAGCCATACAAATGGGGAAAATATTCATTTTAATTAGGTGTCCAGTATTGTCTCCAGTGAAATCCATCTCAAACTTCTCTACGAGTTCCATGGGAGCAGGTTCTGATGCTGATAATAGCTCCCTTTGATGGGATGTATTTCTACCCTGTTGTCCAGCTTTCAAACATACATGTTTTCATGCCTGATGCAAGAGAGGTGAATTAGAAATGCTGTAACATTCCCATTGCAGAGCGGTGGCCACAATTTTTTTCCTTGTTATGGCTGTCTTTTGGGGAAGAGAAATTAAGGGTGGCTTTTGCAATGGACCTCTGCTGTCTGGTTCTACAATAGGTAGGCAGTTAGATAAGTAACCATGACCATGACACAGGAATTGGATATTATAGATGTAAATTGTTAATATTATTATACACATTTGCTTGTACAATAACTGGCAGCCCTTGCCCATTTTAGAAACCACTTTCTTGTTTCTAACAGTGAAGCAAACCTAGATTACCATTCTAAATGCTAATACACAGAATGAATGTGATTTAATAAAGTGAATTTATATGTAGATTATGACATTAGTATTTAATTATGTACCCATCATATCTCTGATGAAGCAAGCTGCTAAATATTGGTGCACTGAAGTGAGAACTTACTCTTAAAGAGCAGGTATATTTTAATTTCTTTCCTCTTTCCTAATCTCCTTAAATAACAGGATAGATTAAGTACTGTTTACCAATATTCACCTCTGTTCCTTCATACTGTATTCCAAATAAGGTTTTCCATTATAGCAGCTGGAGCTGATAGAAACATGTGCTTCTCTTTTGGTAAAACACTATGATAACAGATCTGGTTTTATGCTATGTTTTATCAGGCCAAATGAAGATTTAGATTTTTTTATTTATTATTTTAATGCGAATTAAAAGTAGTATGTCATCTGTGATGTTCTGGGTTTTTTTAATCTTTCATTTTCTGTTATTTTTTCAGACTATGGAAACCCCAAAATATGAGCTAGTTATAGAAGCTAAGGATATGGGTGGTCTTGATGTGGGACTAACCGGCACAGCAACTGCCACTATTCTTATTGACGACAAAAATGACCATCCACCAGAATTTACCAAGAAGGAGGTAAGAGTTTGCCATCTGTGTCCTGCAAAATGGTGCATGTAATTGTAATTAGCTTGTTTCTAAATACAAAAATGTTCCTTAATGGAAGGCAATACTTTGACATCTTTTTAGCTTGATGTGACAGACTTTCCTGGAGCTGCTCTTTTCTTCTTTTACATTAACAAATTTGTATACATCATTTAAAAAAAGAATGCAACCACAAGGTGCAAATTTGTGTCAAGAGATATCAGTCAGATTTTGGCTAGCAGGATGAAAACCTGTGAAATAAGTTTGGCAGTGGTAGCTTTCTCCTTTTGCTCCTACAGGGGAAAATAGCGAATTCCCTCTTGCCGAGCTTAAGGCTTTTGATGGTCAGGAACATGGATAAAAGCAACGTGCTTTGTCCTTGCTTGAGTACTTTACCTGTGAGACAGCTAGTGTTGAGAGTTCTGTAAGGAAAGCTCTAGTCCTAAAAGCTTTAAATTTAACCTACAGGTGGAATTTGCAAGGAAAGTTTTTTTTCCCTGCAAGCTGAATTCCACTGAAGAATGTTGAAAAGTTGGAAAAAATCCCAAATCAAAACAAAAGATATCCATTGCCTGCAGGAGGGTGTAATAGCACTACAGCAAAATTTCTGGTTTCAGGCAAAGCATCTACTAAACTTTCTGCCCTTCCTACACTGCTGCCTTCCCTCCTTTTTTTTTGACTATGGTATCTGGAGAGAATTAGTGTGTGTCTAAATTTTTACCTAAGAACAGCTGGTTTGGATTTTGCTGTGAAAGTTTCCTGAGGCTCTGCAAATTTTAAGGAATATTCCCAAAAGATGAGAAGTAAGCATGAGGAATGCTGATTTTAAAGGTAAAATTAAAAGAAGGAAAGGAAAGCCTATTTCTGTAAAAGTCTTGGTTTTCTCCTCATCTTTTACTTTTTAAATTATTTTTTTCTGGCCTAATTTTAGTGGTTTGACAACAGATTATTTTGAAACAAATTACTGCAATTTTACTTGAATAATTACTTCTTTTATAAATGTAAACTGATAACTAGATTAAAAAAGGATGGAGAAAGTTCGGGTTTTTTTAAAAAGGGAGAAGAAGTAAGAAACAATGACAATTTTGCCAACAGGAATATTGTTTTTCACTAATCAGTGGCAATAGCTGTAATTACTTAAGTAAAAGGCTTTGGCAAGAGCATTTCAATCACTTAAAAAGTACCAAGTGGCTTTGATCAAACTATTAATTCCTTTAGAATTACCCTTTTGATCAGGCTTTTAATGGTCTGAAAGATGTTTCCTGACAATCAGTAGTTAAAATATATTTAAAACATTGTATTTTTTTACCTTCTGGAACATAACAATGTAAAAGGACAATGCCACGTATTTAGAAATAGGAAGTATTGTATTAATCAATATTGGTAGCAATTCATGTCATTTGGACTCCTACCTTCTTGAATTTCCAAACTTTGAGATTTCTTCTTTTGAAGAAATCTTTCTATAATTGTATGTCCTATTTAACTTAATAGTTTGGTAATTTGGGCAAGCATGTTAAAAAACTTGGGTGCCTGCTTGGCCCCAAATGGACTGTTAGACATTGTCTATTTCTGTGGAAATTCAGAAATGTTTATAAATTCAGTTCAGTTAGTGATAGTAAAAGATACTCTGTACTCTTGAAAGTCTGATGGTTTCAGTATAGAAATAAAATAGCATGTGCGAAGAGTCAGCATTACATAGCTTTCTTTGAAAAGTCCCGTCTTATACATTCTTCTTGCACTTTATATGACAATTTTCTCAGAGAGATTTTTTTTTTTTTTTTAAATACATTGTGACATGGTTTTGAACCTCTCGATATTTAGAGATGTTAATGACCTCAGAAATCTTCCCCCTGCCTTGCTAAGTGATATTCTTATTCCATGAATAAGGCAGGAAAAATCAGTCTTTAGACGTACGGTGTCAGGCCCTTTTAGAAACATATGCTCTATTTAAAATAAGTAGTGTAAGAGGAGGGAGAGTGTCTATTAATAGAGCTAATGCCGCTTTATTTGGCTTACTGCTTAAAGTACTTAGTTATTGTATTTTAATACTAATCACATACCACATGCTGCAATACTCTTGATTTGCAGAAGACTTGAAAGAAAAAGACTTACTCTACAAGATAACTTTTGAAGTAGAAAGCTCAAATTCAGTAAATCTGACGATTTGATTTCAGAGTGCATCTTCTTTTATTTACTTTGAGACTGGCTGCGTATGATTGGGTTCTTATGGTATTGATATATGTTCCCAGCTGTCTTCCTTCTCTTTAGAGATACTTTCTCTCAATGCCTTTTTCCCTTTTGTAAAACAAATGCATATTTACTGGCCTGTGTTTTCCTGTGATAGTATATTTTCTACCTAAAATAGCTCTGCCTTTATTTGTCATATGGTATTGATGTAGCTTGATTAAGCCAAGTTTTCAGTGTGTTCTCTTCATCTGTAAACACAGGGGCCAAATTCATTCCTGATCTGACACAGTGAAAGATAATGAAGTTATAAGAACTGGATTTGTTCAAAATTCTGGACACTGTATACATACAACACTGGGTACCCTGGACTGTGCACTAAATGGTGTTTTGTAGAATGTAGAATGCATTGTTATATATAGCTTGGTAAAGATATATATTATTTCAATAATATTAATGCCAAGACAGAAGTTTAAAGATTTTTTTCATAGCTTTCTCCAAAGTTTAAAATTTCTATATATTTCTATTTCCAAGAAGACTTATATGTGTTAACAGGTATTTCTTTGAGTCCTCAGTGCAAGGCAATCTTGGTCAGGCATGAGCATGTCTCTGTCCATTGAAGATGAGTTTTATCTTTTGACACTTGACCAATCTCCTCTTCTTTTTTTTTCTTCAGAAACAAGTTTATGTATCTACCCCTAAGCAATGACATACTTCTGTGTACTCCTGTTTACCGTATTTATTCTTTGGAGGTCAGGTCCTTACACACCTATTCAAAATGCTCATTAACAAGCTTTATTTGATATTTCAGAAAGGTCTAAATGCTCCTGTTGTTGTACAGAGTTTTGCAGTAGCCTCTACTGGATTTATGTAGATCTTGCTGGAAGAGGGGGCGTTTGTCTAGTGAATCTGTTCTTCCATCTGCTATTTTTTTCTCCTGCATACCACACCCATGCCATTCTGATGCAGCTGTGGCCTTTGTGCTTGGGGAAGAATTCATCGATGGTATATCAGGGCATAATCACAAAAGAAGCTGAGCAAACCTGGCTGTCATCCAATAAAGCACTTCCATTAACTTCAGCGAAATAGTTTAAGCTCTTGAGGTTATGTGTCAGGTACTTTGATGGGTTAATGTATGAGACACTGTTTTATGGGATTCAGCCCAGTTAATTATTTTGTTGCTGCCCCATCACTCTACACACCTCCAAAATATCTGCCTTGTTGTATTTCACATACCCTTCCTGTTCATAATGGGCTCTGAGCAGTGCAAAAATCCATTCAGACTTGCAAACAGTACTGCGTTCCCTCCAGGGGTTTAAATAATTTCATCTTTAATGCTTAAAAGAGCAATGTTTTAAAAGCTTCTCCAAAAATCCCAGGTGAGATAACAAGGTCTACCTTTTAAAAGGTCACAATGACCGGGATATTGTGCCAGATGTTAATTATAGAGAATGAAAACAGAGATACTGGTGAAGTTAGTGGCCTCTTTTTCAGGAAGTTTTTAAAATTTACAACCCTATTTATGTAATATTAAAGAGTTTTAAAATTAATTTTGTGAATTATTACTGAATACAACGTGTATTTTGTATCACAAAGAGCAATTTGGCATTTCCTTTCCAGCAAGTTAAGAGCTTAGGCTCAACTTTGGTTCAGAAAAAAAAAGCAGCAAAGGATAACTTATGTGAAAGTAAGAAATGAAGCAAAGCAAGGAGCAAGAATAGATCATTCTGGAAAATCTGATACCTGGTTTGCGTACTGCAGGATATTCAAATTTTGTGGGAATTAGTTAGACTGAGTGGATGCTAATGGTGCTGAGCTTTTCTATCTAGCACATTAAGAAAATGAGAATTATTTTCTAGTGTCAATTCAACAATTAGGGACAGACCACTTCAGTGTTGCATGCCTGCAAAACAGTGATTTTAGTCTACAATTAATGTCACTGTGGTTGAAGTGTGATGAAAAACTGGCAATGTAGCATCTGCTGGAAGCCACAAGCTGGCAAATACTTCTCTTGTATCTGTTCCTGTAGGCATGGTTCTGCCTGGATCTTCCCTAAGACCCAGTGGAGGAAAAAACATTGTTTCAACATGACAACAATATGGATTTCACCCTTTCCTGCCTATTCTTCCTCCTCCAAAAAAAATAGTACAACAAATCCTACTTCTGGTCTTATACCATCACCAAATGCAGAGTATATGCTCAAAAATGGGATTCAACTGAGTATATTTGCCTCCCTCTTCTGGCTTCTGTCCTGATTTTTTAAAGTATCGGTTCCCAAGGAAGAAGTTTCCATTGCTGCTCTGTAATAATACTTTATTTTTCCTTAATATCGGATATATTGTCTTTCCTTAGTAAATACTATTAGGCACTTGAGAGAAGAATGCAGTGACGTGGCTTAAGGGGATGATTTTTCTACAGTCCACCTAATTCTCACATCTGTGCTTCACCACGGATTTGGGACAGTAGCACAACCCTAGTCGTACATGGAAAAGTAGTGGGACTTGTTAGTGCTGTCACTTGCTCATAAGAAAGAGAGACTTCATTTGGTCAGGGAACAGTCTCATTCTTGAGACAATTTCTCTTTCTGCCCCTTCCATCCTCACCTTCAACTTCATCCATTTCTGGGACAAAGTAATGTAAAATAGAAATAATTCTGTCATGTCAGCAGAGTAGGATTTGGGAAAATATTTTTCCTAGTTTAGACTTTAGGAATATATGATCTCAGAAATGAATTTTCTAGTTAAATAAAGTAGCTTGCCTCCTGTGAACAGAATAAAATCTGTGTAATTTGACAAAATATCACCATACTG